TGAGAAAAATGATAATCAAAAAGCGGAAATGAATGAGTGAGAGGAAGAGAGAATGGAAAATGTCAAAGGAAATATATCGGGGAGGGGGAAAACGTTTTCTCACCTTCTGTCCATTTACGAATTTCATCATTTTGTAATTTTTCAGCTTCTTTTTCCAAATTATTTCTAGGATCGGTGAATTTATCTTTGAAATACCGATTTGTTTCCCTGTAAGCTTCTTCCTCTCTAAATTTTATACATTTTTGTACCGTTTCCGCATTTCCCAACAGCACGCCCATCATGTTACCCGTCAAAGCCGTTTTATGAACCTTTATTTAAAAAAATTTTAATTGTTTAAAAAATTTCGTGACGACGTTTAATAATAAATAAATATATAAGTAAAGGAAAATTACGTTGAAATATGTGCTTTCGTATAATCCATTTCCGGTATCTTTAACGTGATTCGTTATTATTTTAAGATTTCCTTCTCTGAAAGGTAATTCGACCAACGTGTCATTAACGACTTTTTTCAATTCGTTCATTTTCATATTGACTTTTTCCAATGCTTGATTTTTCACTGTGTTTATATCTACTCCCAACTTTATAAAAAAAAAAAAAAACAATAAAATTTTTTACATTTATAAGGATACGATTAAAAAAAAAAAACGTTTACTTACACTTCCGGTTGCCGCAATGGCGACCGTCATAAAAACCGTTACCCACAACATATTTTCGTGGATTTCACAAAAAAGGAAAAAAATCTGATATAAAACCAAGTTTTACTTGTGTTTGTTTGTTCGTAACTGATTTAATTTAATAATAAAATCGATGATTTATTTATCGATCCTTCGAACGATCGATTATTATCTTTTTATCGATAAACATTTCACTTCCCCACCTTTTTTAAACTAATTACCGTTTTTAAATTATAGTACAGGGTCAAACATGTTTTGGTTGTCTCAACGACCGACCGTTTTTTTCACATTATCATTATTATTATTATTATTATTATTATTATTATTATTATTATTATTATCATTGTATTATTATTATTATTATCATTGTATTATTATTATTATTTTATTGATAGGCTTTTTGTAAAAACTAAAAAAAAAAAAATAATATAAACGGAAATATTTTTTGTTTTTAAAAACGATATCTCGAATGTAATCGATCTAATTTTTTTTTTCTCGATAGAGGGAGGAAGGGAGGGGAGGAGAGGAGGTAGGGAGGGAAATTTAAAATTCAATTCGTGTTTTTTTTATTTGAATTGGTCCATTTAAATCTTTCGTCAATTTTCTCTCTCTCGGAAAAAAATTAAAATGGAAATTTTATTAAGGATAGCAAAATGACAATTGAGATTCGTCGTAGTAAACTATAGCAAAAAATCTCTCTGTCTCTCTTTCTCTCTCTTGTGCAAACAGCGACGGTTTAAGGTTTTTTTTTTTATCGTCAAAAAAAAACAGTTTATTATTATTATTATTATTTTTTTTTTTACCCTACATTAATGACCAATTTTTGTTTTTTTTTCACGTGAAATTATTATTATCAATTATCTGAATTGATAACAATCATTTGGGAAATTTTTTATTATTATTATTATTATTTTTAAATAAATAATTTATCACGAAATGAAATTCGAGATTTGATTTTTTTTTTTTTTCAAAAAATATATTATTATTATTATTAGATTTACGACATTTGGACGTTTGGGATTTTGGGCGTTCTTACTAATAATAATAATAATAAATAATGATTTTTTTTTTGGGGGGGGGGGAAATTCAATCCTTTCAAGATTTTTTTTTTTTATTTTTAAAATTTCGTTGTGGCTTTTGCCCCTCTCTCCATTTCACCTCTACCTTTAACCCTACTCCCTTTTGCCCTCCCCCTTTGTTCCCTCCTCCTTTTCCTCTTTCCGCCCCCCCCCTCCGTATTTTTATCCCGTCTATTTTCTTGAGTCAATAAAAATAATTTTTGTTGTTGTTTTTGCAGGCATTTAAATAACCTTCAAACTTTTTTTTTTTTTTTGTTAAATAAAAAGGTATTTAGAACAAATTGTTATTGTCTTATTATTGTTGTTGTTGTTGTTGTTTGTTGTTTGTTGTTTTTAATTTTTTCCTCGGAAAATTGATATTAATAATTATCATTTCGCAATCGTTAAAGTCTTAATTATAATTAACTAGATAGTTATCAGTTTGACACTTTGATTAAATTACAAAAAAAAAAAAAAAATTACAACGTCGTCTGCAAAAATAAATAAATAAATAAATTACGTTAATAATAATAATAATAATAATAATAATAATAATAATAATAATAATAATAATAATAATAATAATAATAATAATAATAAAGTTAAAATAATCGTAAAAATTTTTTTTTTTCGAAATTTGGTATCGAACACGCAGTGTCAAATTCGAATTTAATTCGCTAAAATAAGTAAATTTGATTGATTTTGCCATAGAGTATAATTTACTCTATGGCAATCGGTTATAAATTAAATTTTCAAATCGAATGAAAAAAAAAAAAAAATGGCGGCGGGGAATAAAAAATTAAAAAGAAATTCAAAGAAAATGAATGAAAGAAAATTTAAAAAAAAAAAAGGTTTCACTTGAATTATTAACACAAAAATTATTTGACAAAAATTTATTTATTATTAATAATAATAATAATGATGATGATGATGATAACGAAATCCGTTCGTGACAAATCAATTTTTTTCCCACGATTTTATGTTGAAACATTCGATTCGTTTTTTTTTTTTTTCGATCGAATACTACGATTAAGGAAACTTTTTTTTTTTTTTATAGGAAAAGTTACGAAAAGAAAAATGATTATTATTATTATTATTATTATCATTTATTTAAAATCATTTCTACATGCAAATTTCTAAAAAAAAAAAAAAAAAAAAATTTAATGTTTAAAAAAAGTTTTTTACCAAATTAAAAATTTAAATTTTTTCTCATTCTCGTTTTTTTTTGAATGAAAAAATTGATTAAAATCAATCAATCAATATGGCGGACGGTTTATAATAATTTACAAACAATTTTTACCAGTGTTTGTAAAATCGTTCGTTATTGTTCTGATTTTAATTCTTGTAGTTCTTCTACATGCGTTCAATTGATTTCTCAATACGTTACGAAAAGTGAATATTTCTCGAACTTTCCATTCCGGATTCATATCATTCTCGATGGAATCTTTTAATTCTTTAACGCAATTCGTCAATTCTTGATTTTTATCATTCAAATCTCCTTCTGCTATAAAACGAGCTGCTTCCAAACAATCCATACTTCCTTCTTTCGTTGCTTTTTTTCCTAATTTTTCACATTCTTTAAAAAGCTAAAAAAATTTAAACGAATTCGAACGATGAATAGTTAAGCAAATTTTTTTAATTTCCGGATATTATTTATAAACCGGAAATTCTCTCGGAGAAAAAAAAAACCGTTCCGGAACGTATTTACATCTTTCATAATTAATCGCCCGATAATAATAA